TACAAGAATAATTTCTTGAGATACTCATTTGATATCGGATGATATTATCCATATCCCTTAGGCAGACTTTACTCCACTAATGTGATTTGCACGGGGATTTAGATGGAGTAGGATTTCTTATCAAGGACGACACTAATGGATGGATTTATGAACGTAGTAGGCAGCTTATAAGAAGAAATAATCCAAGTTATTTGGCAGGCTGAACCGAACAGCATTATGTTTTAGAGATGTTGGTTTGTAATGTTGCCTACGGGCAATGTTTGCATCAGACTTGTTTAAATTTTAATATATCTTTAATTTGGTAAGCAGATTTGATTTGATGACGAAGCTCAAACTGGACTGTTGGATGGATGCCAGCAATCCCAAGTATTTTGACTTCACAAGCCCAAATAGGGTTTCATAAAACAATTCGGCATAATAGCTGATAAAAGGCATCCTATCCCTCACATTTTTGCAAGCCAATCATTGTCTGGTTTGCATCAAACAGATAACACAGAATTAACTTGATCATGAAACTATTACTTTACAAAACAATCGAGTATATACAGTTAACTACACTTGGGAAGAAGAATGAAACAAATGGGAGAGCTTTCCTAATCTAAAACCTAAGTATTGAACCTTTGCAGAGGGTCTGACACTATGCAACTTATGTAACACAATTCCGGACAGCAGGCGTAGCCAAAAGGCTAGAGTAAGGTCCCTAAAACTGGAGATAATCCATCTAGAAGATTTTTTAGGTTAAATCATCTGCTAGATCATCCATGACTATAACACATCTTGCCACAAAGTTTTCCACTTATCTGCCAGTTTCATCGTCTTCTATTCCAGTTTGCTCGCATTGCGATAACAGCAAGTCCGGAGAAACTTACCCCGCCAACTGCCGGACCAAGGCTTTCCCATATACAAAATCGCGCCATTCGGATTGCTGCTTCTTTTGCAGCATCATCCATGGCTTGCATTGACTGAGCATCCTCAGCCACTTCATGCTGTTGAAGTCAGACTCAACCTGCCATGAAGGTGGAAATACAATACGACGCAGGAAAGTACAAAGAAAAAAGAGCATTAGAGTTCCCCAAGGTAAAACGAGTTCACAGAAACATGCCTTTGTGAAGGGTTTTGAGCAGCATCAGCTGACACCCCTCCACGAGCTTCAAGGGCCACTCCAAGTGCGATGTTTGGCTTCAGAAGACAAAAGTGGAACACAGATTATAAAAAAAAAAGGCACAAAATTAATTCAGTGAATTATATCTATGATTGCTAATACGTAGTTACAGAATGGAAGCATGCACTAGAGGTAAGACCTCCAATTCATCTACCACACCATTTTGTGTTGATCCATCCTCCAATTTATCCATCCCTGTGCTAGTCCCCTGCAATAGTTCTTGACTGTCACCCACACTGGAACTTGTACTGCCGGCAAACTGCTGCAGAACCACCTCCTCGATGGACTCTGAATTGCAGAACAGGTCTCCCGCTGAATCCCCACCACACTCCAGATATAATGTCTCATTTGCCAACTGCCTAGCATCACTTCCACTAGATGTTTCAACACCAACATCTGCGGTACTCCTAACTGCCATCAAGTCCATCAAATATTAACCACCAAGTCCATTGAATATCATCTCCGGCAACATAATATATTTTAATCAACAAGGGTCAAACTTAGTTTCGATCTGATCCTTATGCCAGATCAAGTGACAAATCATACCTGATATGCTACTGGTGACAGAAGAGAACAACTGTGGCTGTCTGCTTGGGCTAATAGAATCATCGTCGACTCGCTTAAAGACTTGGTTATCTTTTTCCGACTCTTTCTGTTTCTCATCTATACCTGCTTGATCTTGTTGATCAGGAGTTGAGATTTTCTGCTGACTTGCATTGACTAATGCATGTTTTTCAGGTTTATTTGGTTTAGAACCCAAGCAATCAATTTTCCTCTTACAATGACGTTCTTTTTCTTTCCCATCTTTCTGATCATTATTTATACCAGCTTGATCTTGTTGATCAGAAATTGATATATTCTCCTGATTTGGACTGATTAATGTATGTTTCTCAGGTTTATTCGGTTTATCATCCAAGCAATCAACATCAATTTTCCTCTTACAGTTTCGCTCCAAGGATCCTCCACAGTGCTCCCGAATATCTTCACCAGAAGTTTTGTCAGTCAGCTGCTGGCAGACGGGCCTCGATGGACGAGGTCTCTTATATCCTTCTGGAAACACATAAGAGGGTATTTGCTTTCTGCGAACATGAGTAACGTGAATTTCCATTCCAGGTTTCCAGAACAAGTACGACTCCACATCACCCTTGAACTCTTCGACAGTTCCGCGTATGTCAAATCGCTGACCTTCTTGTATCTTCATCCCCTGTGTCCTTTGCAAGCCCATAAAGAAAACACAATGTGAAAACTGTTTAAAAGGATCTACATACTCATTGGGATATGGATGGCACTGCAGTATGCCGCATGTGTCCCTCTCAATCTGCTTGTGAACAAAACAGTAAAGGGTTAATAAAAAGGAATGTTATTTTAAAGATGGAAATAAAACAGACAAATGGGTATGTTAAATGCTGAAATCACATAAAATAAAACAAGAGTTGGATAGCAATGCACTCGGACCTGAAAAGGTTGGAACTCACCTTCAGAGTCAACTGCCTCAGACGAGATTCCACCCATCCCTTCCATGACCTTAGATCCTCGGCATCAGCAGCAACAATGTCAACCTGGAGATAGTTTTTATATGTCTCAAAGAAAGGGTAAGGCTCAAACAGAGCACCCCAACCAGTCTTGTTCAACTCAATATCCTGCAAGGATGAAAATAAAGAAAATGAAGCAAAAGATGGTTTCCCAGCAATGCTACAGAGGGAATCACCAAGTACAAACCTCACAGATATTGTTGCCAATTTGAAATTGTTCCGTCATAACCCTTAGTGTGCTTGTTGATACATTATAGCTAGAGTTCATGCATGGATATGCAGGAGTAATAATAGGCATATGGTGAGTTCGATCTCGTGGGTTCTTACGGCTATCCCACACAGGGAACCCAAGTTCAGCTTCCTCAATATCACACAACCTTACTGGATTTGGCCAGCGCCACTGGGTATAAACTCTGAAAAATCGTGATACTAGCGTACTTGGCACAGCATTAGGATAAAGCTGGCAGACACAAGCAACCAATATAGCCCAATTGACACCCCCAAGAAATCCAATCACCTGAACAATTTAAAAAAAAAATGAACAAGCAATATTAAGGGTTGATCTGTTAAAGAATGACAATACCAAAGAGAGCTTACATTTGAATAAACTCCACGCTTCTTAGCCCAGAGCTTCAAGCATCTGAGAGTTGTTCGAAAATTCTGTAGGAAGTATAACTGATTCAGAGACAACATAAAGTGTGATAAATTACGAAGAATAATGCAAAATTCAAGAATGATAACCTCAATATTTGGCACCAGCCGTATAATTTGGTCCGCTACTCTGCAGCCATTAAGACTTCTAACAGTTGCCTCATCAACATTGTAAAGCACAGATACATGGGAGATGTCCAAATCCTGCATGAAAATACCAGAAAGACTACATGTCAAGCAGATACAAAACCACTACGTTTTAGAAGGCACAAAATTCATGTCCAACACAATCTTCAAAGTTGGAAATCTACAGTATCATAAAACTACAGAATATAGCTTCACTGGAAGACAATGCTCCACATGGCAATGAAAAAAAGGTTCTATTGCTGCCATCTTGATCTGTAATTTTGAATACCTTTAAGTTCCAAATTATCTTCAACCAGCTTATACCAACTTCTGAAACATAACCTGAAGTACTACTCTAATCAACATCAAAATCTGTTCATGGTATTTGTTGATTTTCCAAAAGAATTATATGCTGATTATTTAGCATCCAGAGCAGTGTGTTGCCACAATGCACACTCAGTGGCAGCAGAACATGCTAGTAGATCTGTAGGACACCATCCAGGGAGTGAATTTCATATAATGATTCTGTACCAGTGCATCTCTACACCAAACATGATTGACATAAACATTAATTTCATAAAATGGGTAATGATTGCTGCTGGTCAATAGATATTAGATCATTTGCCAAAAAGAAAGTCCAAGAAGTGGAAGACAGGAATAAATAATAATGTGATATAACAAGAAATCAGAAGAAAGAATTTCGGCGGAATGGATAAGACAAGCAAGATATAGATGAATAGCAGTTTTTTTTATCCCAAAAATTTCACTACTGAGGCAATATTTAAGGATGTAATAGTAGAACAGAAAAAAAAAAAAAGTTCAAGAAAAGTAAGTTGAATGTAAGATGACTAGGAAATCATAGCTCAACTTAGGAACCGAGACTTTATTGGTTCAAGCTAAAGCTTGCATTTAAAATAGGAACAATATGCATTCAACACTAGTGAATATCCATGCACATGTATGCACTTTATTATGCAGACTCCTGTCCACAAAAGGTATCGACAAGATGTCATAACTATGCATAATTACTAAAAATACTGTTCCAAGGAAAAAAGTAAAACGAACAATTGCATAAAAGCGGGGTACATCTTGCAATATGGGAAGCTTTCATAAAGAAGATGCACATAAAAGGTATCTAAGAATCAATTTTCCAATCAAGTGCAATGGATTTTTATTAAAAACATAAAATATATATATTTCTATCTCAAGTGATAACCCAGTGGAAGGCATTTATTGAGAAGTTTTGGAGGTGGCAAAATGCCAGTTTAAAATATTAATTAAACTTGTAAAGTCATAAAGAGTAGAAATTAGACCAAAAGGAAGAGAGATTTTTTTCAAGACCAAAGAAGAAAACAGATTGCAAATTGCGGACCTACCTCAGGAACAACTAGTTGTGATATACTGGCATAAAGAAGATCGATAGATATTCCATCAAATTTAAATTTCATAACAGGAACATGGGCATCAGGCACTGGCTGAAGTTCAGAAACTTCGTCAATTTCAGCCAAAATATCATGCAAAGTAATGAAAAAGTCCTCCTGGAAAAAGTTCCCAGCTAGTCAATATCATTAGTATATAAGGTGTTCTATTCACAAATAAAATCAAGAAACAATTTAAACCTCTCGGCTAACATAGGAAGGTCCAACACACAAAGTATCAATGTCAGCCCCCGGTCCATGAACCTGCCACAACACAAAGCAATTTCAACTGTTTATCTGAGTTAAACCGATCTAAGATCTACCAATCAAATAAGGTTAGTGATGAGAAAAAAAGATCATGATAAGTTACTGGAAAAGGAAGTCATAAAAGAGGGGAAAAAATGAGAAAGGATTAGAGCCAAATAAAAGCTACACAAAGCTTATGCACCAAACAATAAAGACTGTGTTTGGGAACACATTTGTATTTTTAATGTGTATTTGGAGAAAAGGACTTGAGTAAAAGTGCAGTTGTGCCATGGCTTGAGTGCTTGGTAAATAGTAGATGAAAACTGCATTTTAAATGTGTATTAGCATGAGTGTTGTTTGGTAAAATTATATTTCGAAAGTCCATTGAATATTATATGATAAATTTACCCTTCTAATATTTTGAATATTTATTCAAAAATGAATACATATTTTTATTTTAAATTAATAAGTAAATAAGTAAATAAATGTATGTAATCTTACAAAAATTTCATATGGCCTAGATATATAATAAATAAATAATATAATCATATAAATAAATAAAATTTCATATTATAGAAGACATAGATCATGTTAGTTTCTTACTAAATCATGTTGATAATTTTGTGATTTTAGATAATGTCATAGGGTAACTTTGGGAATTTGAAAGATTACATTAGCATCTCGTAAATGCTGAAATGTTGATGTTACCTTGAGGTAGCATCAACATTTAAGCATTAGCAATGCAGCATCCAAGCCAAATACGATTTGAAAAAAATTCATCGAACACCATAGGCTCTCAATGCACATTTCAAATGTATTCCCAAACGCACCTAAAGTTGCATATAAAAAATAAGTTTAAAAAAATGCATATTCCAACCATGAATAACTTGCACTAAACTTCAACTATAGGACTATACCAATCATTGTCAGCATGGTTGTTCTATCAAACAACTAATCACTAGAAATGAGTATGGAATTAACAGCTCCACAAGGAAGACCTAAGATACCTATACCTTGTGGAAGAATTTCACATCTCAGTTTTCAACCACTAGGACTGGGATTGCAGTTGATAAACAACTACTGTATGGGAGAGAAGCAAAAGTACCTCATGCACAAGATAAAAAGAAACATCATATAAACAAAAGCAAACCCTCTTCAGTTTGGAAAAATGACAAAAATAAGGCATGCATAAAATATTCTTCAAAATTGATGCTTTAGAAGATCTCAAATTCAATCTAATGAATGCTATTGAATGGAAACAAGTGCTTCAGACAATACTAATCCTAATCAGTTTCTATAATTAACTCAAGGCCTCAAGCTGAATATCATTTGATAAATTTGCCATTTTATATAGTATGAGGTCAAATCAGTTGAGATCAAGGACAAATATGGCCAATTAATATCATTTGGGAGTGATCCAAAGTCACTCAACCCGTCCAAGCTAAAACATTGTATTCTCCCTTAGGTTTTGCTATTTTGAGCCTTAATTATGAAACTACCTATAGGATTGCACTTCCCATGACAGAACACTATCAAATGTAAACCACATATTAAGACCTACATTTGTGATGCTCTAGTATCAACCTTATTTGATACCATTTTGACTTTTATTTCAAACTTCTTTTAGCAAAAAACCAATGCACAGCAAATTAATCATGAGTTCCATAAGATTCTAGCTCAAAATTCATTCACTGGATTGGATCTTGTCTTTTGAAGAATATTCATTAAAAACATGTCACGATACTCATGCAGTTACTACCAAAATATAAACAAATTTAACAATGATGTATACACTGCAAAAGTGATTCAAGAACTGCCTTCAAAACTTTAATTCAGAAAATATTAACAAAAGAGTCTTAATACTTAAGCTTACACTTTGGAAAGTAGACAAGTTCCATCACATCATCGAGCAAGCTAAAACTGACAGGTTTAAATTATCAATAAATATGCCTCGAGCATTTAAAGTACTGCCAATACGTCAAGCTTTATAGACATCCTACTTTGGGCTCAACATGTTCAAGCATACTAAACCAAATTCTAAACTAGAGAAGACCATAGTACAAAGAGAACTAAAAGAAGCAACAAATAACTAATATGTGTTCCTCCCAGTGCAATGATAGATACAATTTTATATCCTATCTATTAAACATAAGAAGTGCAGTCCATGCAGAACTTCAACATGCCCATTTTACATAGCTGTAGAAACATTGCAAAAAATTAACTCAGCCTACAACACAGGAAGCTTATAAAAACAAATTAAATGTTAATAACTGTATACGTTATATGAATAGAGGGGTTGTTATCCATCAAGCACTAGTGCAACCTTATCCAAGGAATTATGAAGAATCAAGATGAAATGTATTTGCAAGCAATAATGAGAACGATGTTTACTATTCAGTATATATCAATCATTAAGGATCTTGTTCACAATTAGGTGCATATTCTCATTCATATACACAATCAACAAAGGCTTAATTACAGAAATCCAATACTCATACCTCATCCCCTAGCGATATAATCAAAATGTAAAAAAATCATAGAACTGAAATATATTTGTTCATATCTTACCCCCAAGCGATAAGATCCAAATGTGAAAATTACTGCACTTGCATCTTCAACCATTTGATCAGAGTAACCCCTCTGCCGAGTTAACTGTTTCACCCAGCTTTTGACAATCTGAGAGTCCAAAGTACAAATTAAGAGTCATAGGGTATCTAGAAATAATTCAGTCATAAAAACTAAAAAGAAAAAAAAATTACACAGCTTATATATAGATTAATTAGAAATAGAACATAAAAGCCAACTTACAAGATCAGCATAATAAATTGTTCAACAGAGTGCAGAACAATAATGCTACGGACCCTAGAATGAACACAATATGAAGCTTGAGAAACTAATCAGAAAGGAAATACGATTTACTTTCATGTGTCTAAGAAAACAAGCAAACGCCACTGTGAAGACAATCTGTTCTCCAGAAATTAGTAAAAGGCAAACTTATTGAGGTCTGTCACACGTAGACATCACCCCTGCAAAATAGCCATATGTTATGTTCTCCTGCCAAACCCGCCAATCAAGAAATTTATTCTTTGACTCATCCAACTCAGTAATTTAAAAATGATCCTCACCAAAATTTCTTTTTTCTATAAAAGTTCAGGGCATCGACATTCTGTCATCTTTGAGAACGATCCTTTAATTTTAAGCTAATTGATCAATCCACTTCTGTTCTTCAAACCCTTTTACTACTCAAAGAACCTGATTCTCAAACTCAGAAATTGTCAGCTTGATGAGGCATGATACACGACAATCCCCTAAGAAGCCCAGATAAAGTACTATTTATACTCTTAACAAAATAATGGAAGTACCTTCTCTCCTAGAAGCATATCCCAGGTACAACAGATGTCATTCCAACTTCCAAGAAAGTAAAATCTTTTATTTTCATGACAACATTCTGAATCAAGTATTCACTTTTTCACTTACATAAGAAACCCTAACATCCCCTTCAATTGCTCATAAGCATCTTTGACAACTTTGTTTAATTTTCATCTTCATATTGCAAGCCTTGGGAGAAACTTAAATGTGCTAAAAAAAGTCATCTTTTTCTTGGTCTTCATGCAAAAAAGTTAGAAGACCATGAAATCGTAATAATAATAAAGGTAATTTGTCTACTATATCGGAAAGTGAGGAGCTTCATTGCCCAACAATCTTCAAAATATCAGCAACAACTCATTGATGAATAATCAATTACTGAGAAAAATGAGACCAAAAGAATCCCACCAACTTATGTATCTCAAATATCACACGGAAAGTACAAAGGTAAGTATATATATAGACCCCTATATAAGCAATTTAACTGAAAATTCGCGTGGGATCTGTTTGATCAATTCATATAACAAATAAGATGAATGGTTAAAAATAAAAGAAAAAAAGATTACCTTGCCTAGTTCTCCTAAAACGTTCTCTCTCTTGAGAGCTTCCTCCTCGCTCTCATAGAGTCCAGCATCAACCAAGAACTTAAAAAGAGAAGCGCATATGTAAATGTCAAACTAAAGTAGACAACAAAATTATTAAGGACACAAAAGATTTATCTGAAGATGAAGAGAGGGAAGGAATAGAAAAGGCAACAAAGATACCTTTTCAAGTTCAGTTGTCCTCTTGAGATCAGCCTCAGTGGGTCCAGCAGTCGAGATTGGCTTTGTTATACCGTACTGCCTTGGAGCAGGTGGAGACGGGCTACCCATTTAATCAGAACAACCCGCCCCACAATCAGAGAGCGAATCAAGGGATAAAACTCTCTTCTGCTAACAGTACTAGAGAAGCTCTAACAACACGGTCAACAAGAAGAGATGCAAAGATGAAAGAACCGCCAAAGATCTAGAATACAGAGGTAAACAACCCTAATCTCCAGATATAGATGGAACAAATCTGACAAAAAAATAAATAAAGGAGAAAAATGAAAAAGGTCACTCTTCGTCTCGGATCACTGACAAAGCATAATCAACCAATGTAGCCCAAAATTGAAACCCTAAAGAAATCAAATATTTCCGCAGTATCCAATTACCTCACAGCCCTATTACAAACGACGATGAGAACGAACGCACTACAATCAAGAAAGACGGATCCACCCAGATGATAGGAGAAAGATATCTCCCACCTATCTATCTTAAATGGCACTAAAAGCCACGGAGAGCACCACCGGAAACACCGTGGATAGGAGAACAGAAAACCAAATCCGAACCACAATCGAATACCCTGAAACCAAATCGGAAACGCAAAGCGTTAGACACTACACGGAAAAAAAAAAAAAGGAACTTCTTTAACTCCGGTGCCACCACGGAGATCGAATTCAAGACGCAACGACAAAAGGCAATAAAGGGCAAAGAAAAAGAAACCTGAACGGGTGATCAAAATCAAGAGCGAGACAAATTCCACTGATCGGCGCCTCGGGAGGGACGAGGCGCCGAAAACCCAAATGCGCAGTAGCGTGTAGCTTCTCGGGGTGGGGACGGCGGCGGCTATTCGAGGTGAGAAGAGAGAGGAGGCCGGACGTAATCTCACGGGGAGCAAGGGGTCGGGTCGGGAGGGGGATGGCACAAAAGAAGGAAGAGGAGGAGACCAATCCACCGATCCACCACCACGCGGTACTTTCCAGCGGCGATCGGACGCAGTGTTGAGCTCGGCAAGGGGAAGCGCCGCAGGGCGGTGGCCTCCGTCGTAGACGCGGAAACACAAAAATATCCGTGCAATATAAAATGTGAAGCTTTTTAGCAAGATTTGGTGGCGGACGGGACGAAATATAACGAGAGCGGGCAGTCGACGGTCGCGCTGCCGTTGACGTCGGACTGTTTAGGACAGCAGTGATTATGATTAACCGTCGTATAATTTCTTCCCGTGTCCGAAACCTAATTACCTTCGTGTTTTGTGGCTGCGGTTGAATCGGAAGGAACAAAACAAAACCAGCAGTAGCAACACGGAGATGGAAAAGAGGGGAGAGAAGGAAAAAGAATAAGAAAGGAACGGAGGAAGGGAGGAAGGGAGAACGGACTTGCGCAGGAGAGACGCGGGAGCTTGGGAGGTGGTGGTGGTGGTTTAGTCCCCGTCAGCCGGCGGCGTCCAAGTCACGGCTCACATGACCAAATCGAAATAAGAAACCAGCGTGCCTGGGTCCCACCCGGTGATGAGGTGTAAAACAGTGATCGAACATGTATGGTATCGAACATGTCTTGGTTATTGCAGGGGATCTGAATCTGTTGCTTTAGGGAGTAATCTTTGCCATGTCTTGCATTAATCATAACTTATCAAAAGTTATGATATCTTGAGAATTGAATGTCACTGAAATCAGTGCGAGGTTTTATTGGAGAATTGTTGAATTATACTTAGTGATGCTCATAATATAAGAGAATATTTTAAAATAAAAAATAAAAAAAATATTTTACTTCTCAACCCATTACTGATGTGATGGGTCTAATTGATTAGACTCTCTATGTCCCTTTTAGATGACTTATAAGTAGGATGTTAGTAAAATGACATTACAAGTGAGGAAGGTCAATATAATTATATAAGTGACTAGGAATATCTTAATAATGAGACTTACTATCACACTATGATCTCGTATCAAGGTTACTATCATAAGATTGATTTTACATCTTGATTTCTAATTTATACTCTTGATAGGATATTGAAATTCTCAATATGACTCTCAAACATTACACCTCCTTGTTGGTTATAGCGATTTTGGTTAGGTCGCTTAACTATTTTAGGTTGCCAATGAAGTTTGTGAGTGGTGTCACACAAAACAACGCAAAAATTACTCAAAAATAAAGTCGAGAAAAAAAATTAATTATCTTAACATCCTAAAACTCTTACGTGGCACTGGATGGGGCTTTAAGCCAGTATCTAAGATTGACCTTTTATTAAATAAAAATATTTTTTTATTGAACTATATTTGTTTGACCCTATGTTGTGATGTAGTGAGACAACCATGATAATTTGCTTTATGTTTGCTCCTCACAAATGTATATATATTTTTTTTGTATGTTCTTAAGAGATTACATTAGATTATTAAGAGGTTTGAGCCTATGCCAATAGAATCGGTAAGAGTATAATATGATTTAGATTCTAGCACCAACGGCCGAATAAATGAAGTTTTATTGTAACTCTAATGGTAAATAAAGAAAATCGAGGAGACATAAGCTCGACTGTACTGAAGTATCATAATATGTCCATTTATTTTTATAAAATAGAATATAAGTGTATCATAGATAATGATGCTATTTGATAGGGCACAATTTGACAGCACACCTTTTGACAGCATACCACAGCTACAACAACACCGATGTGAAACTTAAAAGCTGATTGGTGGACCACGTCAGCCACTTAGACAATGCGATCATCCCCTCATCTTGTATAAGGCCATGCAAATGACATCGTTAAGTATAGAGCTGTCCCGGAATGTTCGAGGCAATGTCGCTCGATGATGATCCATACAGGTCGACCATCATCCGTGCATAGAGGCATGGGCCAACCGCTTAAGGAGTCGACAATCATTAACTCAACCAGACTCGAGGCGCAATCCCACTTCCCGAGTCTTCACTTGGGTGACCTGGCATATTCAGAATCAGACAAAGCTGGGCTGACTCCTCAACCATAATGTAAAGGTTCATCAATACTATTGCAAATGTATCCAACTAAGAGATGTTATAACGAAGAACCCGATATGATATAGTATTATGGAATTATCAAGATAGGAGATGTGCGATAGTCTCAATGAACGTGTGTCATCATCCGACTGATGTCATGTATTAATGTTATAATATAGTCTAAGGACAATGTATTTGCTATAAGCAAATTCATACCGTTCTTAGTTATGGAGATAGGAGCTTAGGAATGTCACGCAAAGTATTCCATTGTTACATGTAAATATAATCCTCCACATCAACCATGTTATGATCTCCAATACACGAGTCAAATTAGTCACCAAGCTAAAGATCGACGATCACAGCCAACAGAGGCCCAAAGTAATAAGCCCGAGTTGATTACCATCCCTAACTTGATTGATTTGAAAGGAGTTAATCGACATAATTATTATCTTCATTTGAATTCGGAAACATAATTAATGGTTCGTTCACTTTCATGAGGTCTACAGCAGTACATGTTCGTATGCCTCGGCAGGAGGAAGCCAATCCGTCGTTAGATTTCCAGTTCGCGAATCTCAAAGCAGGGAATCGCCATCCCCAAAGCCTTGGGTTGCATTCTACATGATGATGTCCCAACCCAGCCGTGCGGCAGAGACCCGACCCGTCCATCTGAATCCGAGCCCGAAAGGATTCGGACCCACGACCCGACCAAGACGCATCCGACCCGCTTCCCATGGCGGTGAAGTCCCGAGATGAAGTATTCCGGTCATCCCACGTAAGACCACGCCTTAAATGACCAAAACACCCTCACCAGAGCACTATTTCCGAATGCGTGAGGCGACCATGGCGAGGGTAACCTGGTCATTTCGGTTCGAGGTTAGGAACTTTCTCAGAATCTTCTCTTACCCTGAGGTGTACCCTATTTCAAAAATTGAAAAAGATTCCGTATCTTAGCGGGAAATTCAAACGATCCCCTCCTCGTAATTTCCTCCGACATGAAGGCCAGTAATTGTTCTATCCCCGTCTCGACCGTTAGTCCACCGTGGCCGTGATGTAATTTTTAAGAAACACCCCTCCATCGTATGGTAATTCCATGTACATCGTTCGTGAAGATGCTGTGAGCCACGTCGCTACATCCCTTCGTGCAAATTCCAACAAATCCAGGGGCTTATTTCGAAGAATCAGCCTGGATTGACGGCGCTGTCGGGATTCCGCGAACGGCGACGTGGACCGTAGCTACGTGGCAATGTGAAATGACTAAAAACGCCCTTTTCCGTCCGTTCCCCACTGGTGGTAAATCGGTGAATCGCATTCTTGCGGGGGAGCCATTTTGGTACAGCGACGAACGCGTGGGATTCGCCGTGAACTGGGACGTTGGGGCCACGGAGGTTGGCCATATAAAGCAAGAACCATTAGCTTTCCTCCTCCAAAAAAGGGGCACTGTTCTTAATCCCAAAAGGACGGTGGATTCGCCTTTCTAGTGTTCTGCTCCCTCGTCCTCTTACTAATAGTAACTGTTTCCAATAGTCGCCGCGGAGCGGAGATCGTGCTCAAAGGTGCGATCTTTCCACCTGCGTCGTCAAAAGGGGAATCCCATAAATCCCCACATTTGCTCTTCTCCCCGTGGATTCTCGCACCAATCCCACGGCCTACCGACGGCGGAGGAGACCGAGCGTACTGCAAAGTTGCGAGAAAAGTGTAAGCTTCATCACAACCCGTGGCCCATTGATTGCTCTCGAGAAAGAGAGAGAGAGAGAGAGGGGCAGCCCGTCCCGATGCTCTGTTCTCTTGGATGATGACGTCCATAAAAGATGTTCTTGGGAGATAGAGAGGAATGACTAGTGATCCCTTTCCCGCTGTCATAAAATCTCGTCCTTCGGTGCAGTTCTATTTGTGAGATGGGAAAAAGCTGCGAGACTTGTGAACAAGTATCAGAGTAGTTATGATAGCAAACGACGGAGAAAGAGAAAGAGTGCAAATCCGCATTAAATAGGAGGTCAGGGTTATTCACACTGCACTGCCAGCGGCAATGAGAATAGAGAGAGAGAGAGAGAGAGTAAAAGAGAAGAATATATAGCTTTTAGAGAGCCATAGGAGGGAGTCGTCACTGTAGAGTTCAGTTCAGCACTGAGAAAGGAAGCGACGGAGAAAATTTTCGAGAAATTAGAACTAGAGGTGTGTCGGTCTGCTTTCAAAGCGGATCGAGAGGAGGGAAAGGCAATCCCGAACTTTCAGAGTCTTCCTCATCCTTTTGCGTGGCTGAGGCGTGGGTCGGCGATCTCCTTCTCGGTGGGGCCTCTTCTTGGTCTTGAGTTGGAGGCAGGGGAAGACAGTGAGAGAGAGGAAAAATCGAGTCTTTTTCCGTCTTTAAGAATCAAGATAGCTTGATTTGCTGGTTTCGTTGATCCCTCCGTGTCTTTTCTGCTGAATCTTCGGAGGGTAGAGAATATCTGGAAAGTTGAGCTGTTTCCTCCGGCTGCCCATTTGAACTCCTCTACCAGCTGAACACAAGCAAAAGCCTCCTCCTCAGTCTTCCATTTTTGAACCTGGCAAATTTTATCTGCCTCTTTCTCTATCTGCGCTCTGCTTTTGTTGTGTAATGTCTCTCCGTTGTTGGTTTTACCAGCGAGTTGCTATTAGTTTAATGGTTTCGGGGGTGGGGCGGGGAAGCCTTCAATATCCCTGCGTCTCTCTGCAACATCCTTTTGTCTTCTAATGCTGTTCTTCACGAGGCCTTGACAGGTTTTTTCCTTCCTTTTGAAAAAGATCCCATCTTTAGCCTAATTTTGCTGATCTCCCCTTGCGTCTTTCAAGGTTTTTATCACGTATCGCCTCCCTCTTTTGAGTTTTTACCACCTCGATAAGATTCCCTGTTCTTTTTGTTTTTAGTTCGTATCATGTTAGACCATTGAATTCGCATCCCTTGCTGCTCTTGTTTGCCTTGTAGGACCTGCAGCCAGTAGGCTTTTCTTGCTCAAATCCTGCGATTGCTGCCGGAATTTGGAAGATTCCAGTTGCCGGAAGATGGGTCGGGCGACGCGGTGGCTGCGGAGACTCTGGAGTGGGAAGAAGGAGAACAAGGAGGCCAAGGACTGCTCCGGCTACGGTGGCGGTGAGGACAGGAGGGAGAAGAAAAGGTGGAGCTTCACGAAACCGGCCAGGGACACAGGCGACGTGCTGTTGGGTCAAAACGCCACGACGGCCGCCGCGGTGGAGGCGGCGTTGTTTAGGTCCTTCTACTCGGAGAGTGAGAAGGAGCAGAGCAAGCACGCCATTGCGGTGGCCGCGGCCACTGCTGCGGCTGCGGATGCGGCGGTGGCGGCCGCACAAGCTGCCGTCGCGGTTGTCCGGCTTACGAGCCATGGGAGGGGCGCCATCTCCGGCGGCAGCCTCGAGCGTCGAGCTGCGGTGAAGATCCAGACGGCATTCAGGGGATACTTGGTATCGAAACCAACTCTTCTCCATTTCTTCTCTGCTCTCTGATTAGGAATGATGAGGTTTTCTTGCTCATCTGAAATGGATCCTCTTTGAGCCTTTGCAGCACCTCCGGTTCTATTTTTGGAGTTGCTCATGATTCTTGCTTATTCTTTGCCTTATCCATTCATATCTCAATCATTTGTGTTCCGAATCGAGTCAAGTCTTATAAATGTATCTCCTTTCGTGATCCATTTAACTCTTCTTCTTCCAATCTGCATTCCTTGTGTTCCTTTTCACTGGTTCTGATGAGTTTGAATCCCGTGGGTATGCGCTATGCAGGCAAAGAAAGCTCTCAGAGCTCTGAAAGCGTTGGTTAAGCTACAAGCCCTCGTCAGAGGCTATCTCGTGCGCAAGCAAGCGACCGCCACTCTTCATAGCATGCAGGCTCTCATCAGAGCTCAGGCCACTGTCCGAGCGCAGAGAGCTCGAAATCTCGTTCGGAATGAGAAAAGGTTTCAGCCGGAAATCCGCCACCGGCGATCTTTGGTATGTTTCTAGTGCTGATTACCGCTTCAACACGATCGAAGTAATCGTTGCTTTACTCAGTTTTCCTTTGTGCTTTCTCTGATCACAGGAAAGGTTCGACGAGTCCTGCCGAAGCGAGAACTTGTCGTCGTTCCATGGTAGAAGGCTTTCCGCGAGCCTTGACAGTGCTTCCAATGGCTTTGATAGGAGCCCGAAGATTGTGGAGATAGACACCTGCCGCCCGAAGTCGTCGAGATCTTCCCGACGAGCCAATCCGTCTGTTCTCGACCCCGCCGATGACTTCCACTCGAGTTCCATCTCTTCCCCGCTCCCGTGCCAGATTCCAGCCAGGATCTCCATCCCCGACTGCCGGAACTTCCAAGACTACGACTGGTGCCTCGCAGGCGACAAGTGCCGGCTATCCGCGACAGCGCAGAGCACTCCCCGCTACATGAACTCAATTAGCAATCTGCCCGTCACTCCGGCCAAGAGCATGTGCGGCGCAGACTCCGCTCTCCTCCGCTTCACGAACGTTCCAAACTGCCCCAACTACATGTCAAGCACGCGGTCCTTCGAGGCGAAGTCGAGGTCCCAGAGCGCCCCGAAGCAGCGGCCGGAGCCGGCGGGGACGAGAAAGAGGCTGCCTTTGACTGAGGTAATGCTCGAATCCCGGGCTAGTCTGAGCGGAGTCGGAATGCAGAGGTCCTGCTCTCGCGTCCAAGAGGCCTTCAACTTCAAGAGCGCCGTCGTTGGGAGGCTCGATAGGTGCTCGGAGCCGCGGAAGGAGGCAGAGAGGGAGTTCTACTGGCACAGGAACTCGTAATGCCAAAGGCTACCAAGAAGATTACAAGAATAAGAGGAGGTCTCTTAACTTCCTCTATTGATCGTTTCGTTTCATATGTTTTCCTGTTGCGATCACAACAGTGGTCGATGTAAATTCTGTGTCTCTGATCGAGAAATCCTTATTCTTCTTCCACTGTTTCTTGATGGTTTCCTCGAGACTGTTGATGTTTCGTATGGAAGTGAGCAAGTGCATGTGCGTCAGGATGGGGTTTGCCGGAGACAAACGACTGCGGCCGTGGACAGGGTGGGGGAAGGGTGAAACAGTGTGACAGTGGTGGTGGGGGAGGCAGCGAGGTGGTTATTAGTAGTGCATATGTGGCCGGTCAGGGGAGCTCTGTTGGATTCGACGAGCAGCTCATGGTTTTGGTACATGTTATATCATACATAAAGCCGATTGCGTTATGGTACAAAAGATTAAATATATTATTCTCATATAGATGTTAATATAAAATTTTTAAATCTAAGGATCGAAATAGTAAGACGATAATATGTAATTAGTCCTCGAAAGTTTGACATCAATCATATAGAACATTTGAGACTGAACATAAACTAATAGGAAAAACTATAGCAAAAATACTGAAATATTAAATCCATTCATTCCAACTTAGGATGAAATATAAATAGATAATGATTATTAAAAGAAATAAAAATATTAATGAAATATAAATTAATATAAGAAGTTTTAAAATGGGTTAAAGAATTATAATATGTAGGTTTATTCTTTAAGAAAACTAGTAGTTTTTCTTTATTTTTTTAATATGGTTTTTGGTATATCGAATAGGAAAGATTCTATTAGCTATTATCCCATCTTGGCTTGGTTTGAAATTGTCCAACTGTTGTCCAGTCTAATTTTAATTTTGGGTTGATTTGATTATGTTAGGTTACAATTCAAAACAAGTCAGGCTATTTGCAATAAGGTGAGCTAGCATAAATACTATAAATATTTTAAAATAAATTAAAATAACTTATTTTTTAAAAATATTATCTTTTTAGATTTCTCTAAAAAGATTTATCTAGGGATGCTCTTTTCTTTATCTAATTTAGAATATTTTCTTAATACATTGTTCTACATCGAATTCGTCTTATTTGCATGGTTCTAGAAATATTTTTATTCTCACCTTATCTATCATAAATACTATAAATTTTTTAAAATATTTTTATTTTAAATTATTATTTAAAATGATATTACTAGAAGATATTATTGACGTCTCGATCAATTCAATATAATCTAGACTTGTGTTTGCAGTATTATCCTCTAAGGTAGAAGAGCTTCCGATATATCATAGGAGAAGATATTATTGATGTTCACATTATATTTTTGTATATATAAATAATAATATATAATTATCTATCCTAAATATTTGTCCTAAGTAAAATATTTTTTTTATATTTTTAAAAGTAGATATCGAATGATGATTTATTGATGATATTTTTATTAAATTATATTTTTATAATTTATATAAAAAAAATATATATATATATTATATTTTCGTCGATGGAAAGCAAAAGATATCAATCTTCGTCAAACTTCTGTCATAATTCCGTGACGTAAAAGTCTTCCCCGCACACTCCATGATGCAATCTTTTCTGGACTCTCTTCAATGTCGTCTGCACCAAAGCAAAGATGCAGGAGGAATCTTTGATGACCTCTGCAGATCAACTTGACGAGACCCGTTCGTGGCTTTCGTAAGGCCACCGAATGGTTACTATCACTTCTGACCCCTACAATAGACTCGCACAGACAACTTCAAAGCGAACCGAGAACAAGTCTACAGAACAAAAGTTGAGATCGCAAAGATCTTGTGGGAGGGGGAGGTCACCAAGTTAGATCTGCAGGCTATCCATCTTCAACTTCTTGCAGTAATCATTGGTTTTGATTTGATTGATGAGAACGCGGGCTCTTTCCTCGAAGCTTTTCAGCGTCTCCCTGTACTGTGCACCCACACACTCTCTCTCTATATCTCCCTGGACCCATGCTTGCATCACCCTCCCTCATCTCCCGAACTGCAGTGCTCCGCCCGAGGGAGCACTTGGGTGCTGAGCCACTCACGACTCACACTGTGCCCTATTCCCCGAGCTGTGCCGCAGCTTTCTCCATGACGTGGGAGCCAATGTTACGTGCCCTCATCTCCATGAGATCCATGTCCTCGCTCCTCCAGCAATTTGCTGCAGTAGATTGGATCGACGTGCAGCGACCGCTGAACACAGCCACCACCTTTTTCTTTTTCTTTTCTCGAGATCGAGTGGACTGCAGCTCGGAATGCACTCTCCGGTCAAATTAATGGATTCGATCTGTACTGTTCTCCGTGGAGGCCTCGTCTGATGATGTCATTTCAGGAACACGCCGTACCCAGGAATCTGTTCTACGTGAAGCCATGATGGAGCATTGTATATGGTGATGCATGTGGGCACGTAGGTTTAATGTTTATAGGTTAGGTTTAACGAGGATATGGAGTATGGATTAGTTCATGATTGATAGTATCTGCATTAGCATTCCTCCACTATCTTCTTTTAGTGCGATTCCAAGCAGGAGAAATCATCTGTTGCTATCTCTCTCCAATCTTTTCTGTCGTTTTAGTGCGATTCCACTTCGGAGAAAGGCTCGCGCTTTAGAAAAGCTAAAACATATACTTGTGATCATGAAAGATGAAGATAGGATGCATCAGTTCCTTTTTCATTTTAAAAGAGTTGATTGGATCAATATTTCTTATTTAATATGATAAAAAAAATTATCAATAATTGATACATGATAATATCATTTTGATAACTGATTTCTTACTAACTGCATAGTAGATAAGATTTCCTCAACAATATGAGAAAATCTCGTTGCTTAGAAAAATTTTCTCTTTCACTATCTATAAATAGACATTATATGACATTAATTGAGATGTGTTTTTCTCTTTACCTTTACAATTTCACTCTTCGTTCTATCACTTTATCATGATATTAGAGCAGTAAGAAAAGAGGTGTGAACCTTTGCCTTCGGCGAGCGACCATCGTCACATTTTTTGCAGACTTGAGGAGATCGAAGGGGATGGCTGTGCCCTCAACAGTCTGCATGCTAGGCGGTTCGACGCTCTCCTCTGCATATACATATAGTTGTGCCATGCACAGCACTGCGTGGATCGCTGCTGCGTGCACGAACTCAAGCCACCACAGTCACCCACCTCTCACCTCCCACCTTCCACTCTTGCCAACGCCTTCACCACCGTTGTCCTGGCCTCCAGCAACATCGTCCTCATTGCTTCCGGTGGCATCCTGTGGTAGCATTTTGATCTTCCTACGAACACGCTCCAGCCATGTCATATCTTGGTCCTGGCAAGGACCTTGTCTTGGTGCAGGCCTACCATCCCTTTCTGGTGTTACCAAACAATCTTTGTAGTTCTCTCCCACTGCCTCTGATCGGTGATCGAGGCAGCCACTACGTCCTGCTCCACCTTCGCTTCAACAAGTAGCATTTGGAACCTTTCCACACCACTTGCTGCATCACCGCATCGTTGCCCAGATTCCTAATTGCTGATCTGCTACACAAAGATCTACAACTGTCTTACACAAAGCTAACCTTCTCCTTCAACAAAGACCTCATTTGCCAACAACTTTCCTCAGGTGACATTGATCTGCACCACCACCACCTCTTCTTCCTTGATCATTGTCTTCCTTGATCATTGGCGTCGCTACAACCTTTTACCTACTTCCATATGTCCTCATCATCTACCTTTGATGCTCTAGTTGTTGTTCCCGCAGGGAACCATAGTACTTTATCACATACAAGCCTTATTTCCATCAATGCAGCAACCCTCATCCCCTTCAAATTATCCAAAGTTAGCAACTACACATCCTGGCGTGCTCAATTCTCTAATCTCCTATTTGGCTATGATCTTCTAGGCTATGTCGATGACTCCCTTCGTTGTCCATCGGTAATGCTAAACATTTAAGGAGCACCCAGTCCAATACCAAATCCATACCACAAACTATGGTTACGCTATGATTGTCTCATCCTCTAGGAAATTCAAGCCTCGATTGCTGGATCCCTCGCACCGCTCATATCTTCATGTGATACTACTGCCAAAGCCTAGTGCAAAGTTGCAAACTACCCTGGCGAATAGTTCATGCACTCGCATGCTTAGTCTCCTATCTAGTCTCATGACAACTAGACAAGAGGTAAGTCCTGATTATCTACACAACATAAATGCTATCATCGATAACTTGGCCTTGATAGGTCATTCTCTCAGTGATGAAGAAATCACTGTTCATATCCTCAACGACCTCGGTAATGAGTACAAGGAATTGGTAGCAGCAATACGGGCACATGACTCACTAATGTCTTTCGAAGAACTCTACGACAAGTTGATTGACTTTGAGATATATCTAAAACGTGAAGACAAATTGCCAAGACCTTCCATCACAACTCAAGTCAGCCAAAAATCTACAAAGAGGGGCAATCCGTATAATAAGACTGTCAACAAAGGTTTGACCAAGATGCCTCCTGAACCTATGAGCTCCAAACAAACCATACCTCCTCAACATCATCAATATTCCAATCACAACACCCAAGGTGGCTACTTCACTCCTCAGCAATCCTAGCACCCTCACCGCCAACAAAAAGTTGTGTGCCAACTATGTAACAAAGTCGGTCATCGTCTGTCGATCTCGACCCGGACTCCTTGCTCAATCACATTGGCCTCAAGCAAATCTCACGATTACTCCAAACATTGGTGATCAAAATTAGATCGCGGACTCTGGTGCATCCCATCACATCACCTCTATTCTATAGAACTTGTCCATCCACAACAACTACAGTGGAAATGAAGACATCATCATTGGTGATGGTAAAGGAATTCTTATTACTTATACTGGTTCTACAATGCTTAATTTACTTACCATAATTTTTTCACTCGATGATATTTTGTGTGCACCTCACATTAAACGAAATCTCATTTTCGTTTCTCAATTTTGCAAACAAAATAATACATCCATTGAATTCTTTCATAACTCTTTTCTTGTTAAAGATTTGAGCATGGGGGCATCCTTGGTCCAAGGCCAGAGTAAAGACAATGTTTATGAATGGCCGTGAGTTCCACAAATTAAACAACCCACTGTTTACTCCTCAGTTGCAGCTCCAATTGATGTGTGGCATCGTCATCTCGATCATCCCTCACTCTCTATCCAAAATAAATTACTTTCTCGTTATTCTCTTCCTACTATTAAAAATACATGTATGATCACTCATTGTGATGTTTATCTCAGTAATAAAAGTCATAGACTTCCTTTTGGCACTTCTTTTATATCATGTTCTACACCATTTGAAATTATTTATACTGATGTCTAGGGCCCTGCTCCCATCACCTCCCTTGATAAGTTTAGATTTTATGTCATTTTTGTAGACTATTTTACTATGTACACATGGATATACCCTCTCCGTCATAAATCAGAAGTTTTAATAATCTTTGTCAACTTTAAAAAGCTGGTCGAAAACATCTTCTAGTCTACCATTAAAACAGTCTACTCTGATGGTGGCGATGAATATCAAGCCCTCACATCCTACCTCTTAACCTGTGGCATCCAACACCTTAAGTCACCTCCACACACTCCTCAACTAGTTGGCTTTGCTGAACGTAAACATCGACATATCGTAGAAACTGGTCTCACTCTTCTACATCAAGCCTCCACGCTAGTCACTTTTTGGTTTGCAGCTTTTCAAACTGCCTTTCCATTTCAAAACCATGAGTCTCCTACCAAGCAAGCTACTCCAACAAATATACATCACTGGAGTATACCATCGATCCCCTCAAACGAATCTCTCACCACACCATCCAATCCTTTTCCTTAAGATCCACACTCTTTTGTTCTCCCAGTTCAACAACTTCTCACTCCCTCCATTACTTCTCCTCTTCCTTCTTCATAAATATCACCCACTACTGGTGTTATATCCTTAGAAACACAACAACCTTCTTTACCTAGTGCCACTAATGTATCTCAGCCTAACCCAACCCATGTCAATGCCTCTCCACCACCCATACCAATACCACAACCTACAACTCCTAGACATCTAATGACAACTCGCTAAAAAAGTGGTATCTTTAAACCATGTCAGGTTCTCGACCTATATGCTCTCATACAATCCTCTCCTGAGACCAGTGAACCTACCATAATTACTCAAGCCCAAAAATCTCCACATTGGCGTAAAGCCATGTGTGAAGAATATGATGCCCTACTTCATAACTCTACATGGACTCTTGTGTCATTTCATCCTACACAAAACATCATCGGGTGTAAATGGATCTTTTAAATTAAGCGGAACCCAGACGGGTCCGTTGCTAGATACAAAGCTCGTTTAGTTGCCAAAGGGTTTCATCAATGACCAAGAGTTGACTTCACAGAGACTTTCAACCCCGTAGTTAAATCTACAATAATTTTGCTTATTCTAAGTTTGGTCATCTCTGGGGGCTAGCACTTACGCCAACTGGACGTTAATAATGCATTTTTATAGGGGACTCTAACTGAAGATGTCTTTATGCAGTAACCCCCTGGCTTCGTTCATCACCAGTATCCGAGACATGTCTGCAAACTATAAAAAGTCATTTATGGACTCCGTCAGGCTCCGAGAGCTTGGTATATTGATACCTTTTTATTCTTACAACAACAAAATGGGAATACAATATATCTTCTAGTGTATATATATGATATTATTATCACAGGCAATGATACCTTGGAGATTCAGATATTTTTAAAGCAATTGGCTGATCGACTCTTCCTCAAAGATTTAGGATCCCTAAGCTACTTTTTGGGAATGGAAGTAACATTTACATCCTTAGGTCTCCTCCTATCACAAAGCAAGTATATTCAAGACTTGTTCTCAAAAACAAATATGCAGGATGCAAAGGAGGTTGTAACTCCTTTCTCTACTAGTGCATCACTCAAAATATGTGATGGCTGCACTCCTATAGACTCAATTCAATACCATCAAGTACTTGGCTCCTTACAGTACTTGGCTCTCACCTGTCCAAATATCTTATTTGCAGTCAATACATGCATCAGCCTTCTGCTATGTATTGGTCTAGAAGCTAAATATCGTGTCATCGCTACCGTTGCTGTTGAACTCAATTGGGTTACAAATCTCCTTAAGGAATTCAAAGTCAGCTCTACCCTTACTCTTATAGTATATTGTGATAATGTTGGAGCTACCTACCTATGCATTAATCCAGTGTTCCACTCACGCATGAAACACATTGCCATCGACTTTCACTTCATACGAGATCAAGTTGTTAGATGTCAACTTCGTGTCTCTTATGTTCATACGACTGATCAACTAGCAAACCCACTCATGAAGCCTCTAGCTCGCAAACTATATTTGTTGCATCGGTCCAAGATTTTCTCAACTGCATGAGGAAATCTCGCTACTCAGTTGAGAAAAATCATCTCTTTCACTATTTATAAATATACATTATATGACACTAATTGAGATGTGCTTTCTCTTTACCTTTACAATTTCACTCTTCATTCTATCACTTTATCACATTCTTCATCCGTTTATATTTTCGAAAAATTATAATATAAAAATAAAAATTTATATAAATATTAAAAAAAATATAAACAAGAATAAAAGTAATTCGTTAAGAAATACTACTATGACTCATATTTGAAAATATCAATCTTGTTAACTCAGAGAAATCGAGTTAAAAAATTCTTTTGTCTTCATGTGACACCTCAATTGATATAATATTTCTCTCTAATTAATAACGAATTCAACTTAGAACCATCTCGAAGCTACCGAGGAATCATCTTAGAACAAGCATGGTACTTATTCATCAGAGATACTTCGAACATTCTTACATATATCTGTTCGAACTATAACGAATTGATTAGGACGTCAGTAATATTTTTTGCTAACATAGTAAAAATTCAATACTCAGAGTAATCCCTCAATATACTATAAAACATCATTCTATCTCATTATCATGGATTGTGATAGAAAATGATTTCTTCGTAACTAACTTGGGATTTTTTTTTTCTTTTTTTCTTTTTTTAGCTATTTTAACTATTTTTCTATAGAGTAAGATTGTAAAGGATTTCTATGCCCACGTTATATTTTTGAGCATCCATTCTCGAGATGAATCATCGAGTGCAAGTGAAATAAGACAGGTAAACTATTTCACATCAGGATCACTACTGACTAATTCCAACATTGACATTATCATCGTAACAAATACGTTAATAGATTTATCCTCTGCTTACCAATAACATCTTCAATTATTAGGATACTAATCAAATATATATCCCTCCGAAAGATCACCGACTCATTGTCTTGATTTCCTAAACAAAACGGACTCCTCATTCAACATAACCACATGTACTGCGAATCTACTCTCATCCTAACACTCACTAAAAAGATAATACAAGTTTTCGCAAACAAGTACAAAATTTGAGCTCTCATATCAGATCATAGATCAGTTTTCTAGATACACAATCTTTAACAGTCAACGATGGATCGAAAGTAATGGAAATCGAAGCTTGAATGATGTTGTACGAGTCCACTCCATGCCTTTAATGTAAGTCAACTTCGGCCTAATCCATATCACAGCCATCATGAAGTCTTTACGTGCATCAGTTCCTTGTCCCCTCATATTTTTTCCGAGTGCTACAAACCTAACACGATCGCTAAAGCTGACCTCACGAAGTCATGTGTCTCACTCTAAGAAAGCTCGAGGCATATGATCTTTTGCACCCATCACTCCAATATCTTAAATATATTTCAAACATCAGAGAACTAAACTAACATTATTTCAAATGTTGGTATGGATGCTTACATTAGTTTAAGGAGGTCTGATACAAGAGACCTACAATTTGAATTCTCGAGAAGGGTGCAAACCCAAGCAAACTGGCTCATGGGTTCATGTTGGAAGAGGCAGGAGGTTCTCTCCTAGGGTTTCTAAAAGGTTTATATGCTCATGCATCCCGATGATGTCAGGGCTTCCTTGTGGTCCTCGTTGCAGTAAGTACAAGCCGAGGATTAAGACTGCAGTCCAGCATACATCACAACCCAAACTTCTGCATCCACAACACAACTTCATAGGCTATGCGCGACCAGATCTGCTACGGCCGAGTAAACTACCAACTATGATCCCAATGAAGAACTCGATGACATCTACATGTATTTATTATCACGTAGGTGTCGAGGAGCAAGAAGAAGACCGGTTTGTGTGGAATGCACCCGTGGTGTATGAGGTAATGCTTACACAAGCTGTCCTTGGAATTCGTTGGGTGGTCATGAGGATCTACGGAGTGACGGTGTCAGAGACCCTGCGCCGGTGTCGGAAGCCGCGGATAGATGTGTCACATGACTTCCCCGTCGGTTGTGGATGGATCAAATCCGTGTGGTCCTCCTCTTCTTCATCCTTGTAATGTGACTTCAGTTAACTTGCTGCGATCATGGATTCACCACGTTTCTTTGGTCACAGTAGTTGGCAGCTCGAGATTTAGGTACGAGATCTAATAGAAGCATTACCTTCACGATGGAGAAGGGAAGAAGAATTGGATACTAATAGATTTTGATCACGATTTCAAAATCCATAGTTCTAATTCTATGGAAAATAGAATCAGAATCAAACTTGTTCTAAACGGTTTCAGTTCCAATTCTGATTATAAAATAGTTGATTTCGAGACTTAAGCCAAGATTGAGCAGGTACAGTTGTTGTCTTCTGAGATTGTTCATAAAAGATATCGAGACTTAAGCCAAGAAACCATGTTCTCCATAGGAGATCATAACAATGCCAAGGGAACAGGAAACAATTGCCACCAGGTCGGAACGACTTCTACCAATATCCTCTGTCAACAAGGAGATCATAACACAAAGCCTGTCGTGTTCTTTAAGCCACGAAAATGATGTCGATCCAAGATTCATTTAGAAAAACCAACTTTTCTGTGATCTTTGATAAGACATAATGATCGAATGAAAAAAACCAACACAATCAAGTATAACTAATTAGATTCATTAGATCTAATTCTAGTCGAACCGATTTAATTGTAATCATCTATCTAATTGATCAACATAATTCGACCAGGTAAGTCTTAGACATATTAGAGAGAGAGAGATGTGGTAATGTTTACCCACCAATAGTATGTAACATAGCATTCACCATATAAAGAGAGGTCTTAGACACAGAGTTCACACGAACAGACAAATAACATTATCTATTTCAACAAAACTTCCAACAGGACCTCAAGCTCATTATTGCTCAGCACTGGTTGTAATTTCAGGAAGACTGCAAGCCCACAGCAAAGGATTTAAGACCGACGGCAAACCGAGAAAGGATTCAAGCTCCATATGTCAAATTCAAAAACCCTGATCAAATAGATAGTCACCAAGCCTCTCCACTACCATGTTGCATTGACCAGCGGTCATTGGCTCAACATATATTCCAAAGATCAAAGCCAGATTGGTTTTCTTGATGGTAACACCACCGGAACCCTACAAGTTGTCAAGAAGTCACAGACAGGACTGTAAATGCCACTGCTCCAGCAATTAACACAAAAGTGCATGATTGTGTGTCTCAAGCTTATGTTCGACTCGGAAACATAACATAAAACGTCGGGTTTATTTTATGGCTCTGTTCAGTTCCATTCCACTGGTTGTATATCAAATATGTTTTATTTAGTTAAAAATTCCTTTAAAACTCAACAAACAATATGTAAAACTAGTTACAATGACTTAAGTTTTGTCTGATAACCACTGGCTTATTAAATGAATGACGAGGAAAAAGCTATTTGACATCTAAGAAGGAAAATCATTTTCTTCTTAGGATTTGCCAATACCAAGACTTAAGCTAGTGTCGGTATGTACCATGTTTGATTTTAATCCTCAAATTTGTCAAGCATACTAACGAAATAACAATCATATTGGCTTTTTCATATTTTTATTTTGACGAATCGTACGATTGATAGGTAGAAAAGCAAAGTAGGAGAGCTATAACACTCCGATTTAATCTCACATTGAAGATGAGATAGGACTAAAATTATTTATGTGTGAACTATTATTAACTTAAGCTTAAGCATTTTGAACTAGTGGTTCAGGCTCAACAACGTTAATAAACCAATTATCCCATCAAGCTGGTCTGTGATAGTTGTTATTAAAGCTAATCTAGCATCGAGGTATGGTGAAAGGGTCGAGTATGAAAGGCCTATTAGTTGAATTATGCCTCATATACATCATATTTAAGTTAAACTAAATTGTTTAGATTCAACGAAGTTGATAGACCCGTTATCCCATCAAGTCGGATTATGATATGGACTTCTATCTATCTAACATTTCACTTGGTAAATGCCTAAAGCAATCCATCATCATCATATATGAATTTTTTTCATCAAAGAATTCTAGAGTTATAAAAATTTGGACATGCCTTATTTCATTGTTTATCCACTTTCTCTACTTTTTCCTCCATGTTGACTTTTTGTTATTTAACCAAAAGATATGCAAAGACAAGATGTCAATTCATGCTGTGTGCCTAAAGCTTCGTTATACCAGGTTCACAATTAGTTGAATTCACAAAGACAAGCTGTCAGTTCATGAGGTAGCATTGTGATTATTTAACTATAATCACTCAGACGAAGAATCGACGTCCTTCTCAAAGATGTGAAAATTATAAATTTTTGACATTTGATAACTTTTTCCTTCCTGGAACAAGGCATTCACATAGAAAATCCTACGAATTATAAATATCTGTACATGTTATAGCCCATTCGTGTTGTTTTAATCTTCGTAATATGAGACTCTTTTCAGTAAAACCAAAAGTTAATTATCATGAAGCTATGCTTCTCAAATGGATTAATGAGTCATACATGGATCGATTACCTCATATTTCCTCAAAACTGCCAAAAAATGTTGAGCTATTGATGACATACCATGCAAACTTGACAGAACATAAATGACTTGTCTGTATAAATTTGAGTAGCATGAAAGCGACAAGCATTGAATTTCTAGGTCAACTAATATTCTGAATTTATGTTAAAACAATGAACAAACACAGATTAGCCTATAAAGAGGATAGATTCTGACCTTCTTGCCTCGAATAACAGCTCCTGGCTCACCTTGGATAACCATGTACTTCGTTCCACCAAGGTACAAACCAGTTGGAGCAAGAGATCCAGGTTCATCAAAGTCTTTCATAATTGCAGAAATCTCTTCAGGCTTGTACTGCATAATTTATGTTAATAAAGCTCATTCATTGATTATATAACAGATCCAAAGAGAACCTAATAAAAATGCTTTGCAGCATCACCAGCTAGTGCATTTTATTGTTTGTACTGGTGATAGTCTGTAAACAAGAAATCTTAGAATGTTGCAGGACAGGGGGGAATAAAACATACTGTGGAAAGGCATCTCTCCAATTCCATGGGTTAAAAGAAATTTTATTATTCACCATGAATGCAACCAACTGAACTTAAGAATCCACTTAACTTCATGTTGCAGGAAAGGGGGGAGCAAAACATCCTTTGACAGAAACTCTATCAATCATTTTCTATCATAGCATCTGCATTGTGCTAGAATTTGATATCAACACTCAAGTTTCTCACATTAATGTACTGTTTGGCAACCTGTTATAATCCAACATTTTAGTTAAACAAATTCATGTAGGTCAGTCATCACTACATCACCAAAGAAAGCCTTTTCAGCAAGTGATATCAAACACAGACTATACGAAGGATCCGCTAAAACCAAAACTTGAGAAAAGTAGGAAAAGAAAAAAGTTAACATATAAAAATGAATATCGCAACAATAAATTGGATTTATTAGGTCAAATATTTTGGATAGTTTCCATAATTTATCATTCAATAACTGAAACAAATATTTTTTTTAAAATGAGGATTGATGATTCAAACTGCATAATCTCTTCTAATCACCAAAGATTGATATCTTATATTCATAAATATGATCGTAAATGCCACCACGAGAACTGGAAGCACATGATGAAGAACGTCCATCATCAAATCTTCTCCCCATCAATCGTTGGCAATCAATCCCCGCATGAGTTGGCGGCTGGGATTCTGCACGGTCCAAGACCAACGAATCGCTCGTAATTATTTTGGGCAATGGATTCGTCAGATAACATGATACCGTAACACAAAGGTAAGCTATTCTACTTGTACGCAGACAAAATCACAAACCCAAGCAGGCCGATCGCACAACAAAATGGGAATCATAGATTAGAACCCCTCAAGAATGATGATGAGCCCGGAGAGGACAACTCCGATCCAACATCAGACCAAAGCACAACAGATCAACCAAATCAGCCGCTTCGATGATCACCCGTCAGATTCAAACATCACAAACAAATGCAGCTAATCGACTCCAACAACAACTAAGGGGGGAGCGAATCAAATTAAAAGCGTGTAGCTAGGGGGAAGGGAAGGATACCCGAGGGAAGGAGTCGCTCTGGGCCCAGACGCTGCCGTCATGACCAACGATGGCGGCGGAGGTGAGGCGCTGCCCATCGATGTCGCACATCAAATGGTCATCGATGTACGTTTGCCAAGACATCGCCTTCCCCCTTCTTCGGTTCGCGAGAGAATTACCGAAGCAGAGGATGAGGGAGGAGGCTGACTCCGGTCATCAATTTATAGGCGCGAACGAAGGAATGGGGGAGGAGGTCGTAAATGTAAATAGAGCCACCGAAACTTTAGTTCTATTGGACAAACGCGTGACATCCGGTAGACTGTCGACAAGAAGAAATAATAGGTAGTCCAACTTAATATAATTTTGACATTATATAATAATATATTCTATTAAATCTTTTATGTTTACAATTTCATTGGTTGGAATATTATCCTATTTTTCTGATATTGAGATAACAGCTAAGAATATCTTTATTTTGTTTCTTTTTCACTATTCAGAATAAGTTTATGTGCGAATGAGACATACTAAACCTTATTTTTTGTTTTGTTTTTATTTTTTCTGAAACCTGTAACAGATGATTCTATTTTCAATGAAGTAATAGTAAAGCTTAAACACCCTAATGATATACTATAAATACTTTCACTTGTCTCTATGAACACAGAATAGATTAAACAAGGGAGGGAATCAAGTCATGTTGAGGCGACAAATATAAAGTCGACAATAGAGGAAGGGGAGATGCTCACCGAGTAGCTTTGAGCAACAGCAACATGGTTTTGGAAAGCAATTCTGGGTTCATGGTGTCTGCAATGAGAGAGGGGTCAAGAGACCTTTTAGAAGTGACTATTGATTGCAACAATGGACGTGTACTAAATTAGGACCCAACTCTAAAAAAAGTTGATGGAAAAGAAGCAGAGAGTCTATCAGAACAACCTGGCTTGCAAATCATGAAGGCAGTGATGGTTCTCTTTGGTTGAAAGCAGCACTGATGGCATCCAGTCTGTATTCTGCAGCACTGAGAAAGATTAAAAGTTACCTTTCATATATGCTTCCTTCAAAACATAGCTGAAAGTATAATGAACTCCTAAAGTCAGGATTCTTAGCTGAAAGTATATTGATTCCCACAATAGGCAGAAATGCAAACATAAACTCAAATGTCACTTATGTTTGGATTAACAATGTAGCAGAAAATTCTTTAAAGCCTGTATAACTTCCACTGTCAATTGATTAACAAAGGAATATTAAACAAGAAAAGAAAAGAAGACAGACTGTAAGCATGATTTCTCATTATGATGTACTATGCTACTGTACCTTTTTTTTTTTGGGTCAGAGAAAGGAAGACAAGGAGCTTCAGTTTCTTCTTGATGATAACTGATTCGATTACTCATCTGGAGAACGATGGATAAACAACTCGGCTACAGTAAAACCACATGTTAATGTATCAAAAAGTGGTTGCCAGAATATACAAAAGGGAGATATCAGGTATCATTGAATATGGAATATGTATGCTACCCAAAAAAATCAAACAATATAGTGGCAAATGATTTCTTCAAAGTTGTCCGATGGCTGTGAAAAAGGCTAGAAAAATCAGGTTTACAAAGGCATTGACAACTAAAATCAAAGAACCTGAATCAATATGGCTTCGCACAATTAATTTTCGATAATAATCGACACATGATTAGAGGGGTCAAGAGTAGCTAGCATTCCGGGATTTTTAACAGTCTCTCCCATGTGAGGCCTGGATTAGCTAGCATTCCCAGCATCCCTGTAAAAGATGAAATCACCCTACCAAACCAGCAATTCCCATTACGATGCTACTGTCTGCTAAGATACTGTCGATCTCACCCTTCAACTTTCCTGTTATGAGATCTACAAATACACTTCAAAGCAAACATTTATCGATCAACACTAGAACAAATTTATGAGGATAAATCTCATAAAGAAGTAGAGTACTCTATTATATGAACAAAAGAGTGAAGAGTCATTCAATCAACATGATATCTAAGAAACATTATCAGAGTCGTAATACATTTTCAGGCTACAAGTAATGTGTTCAAGTGAGGAGCATAATTTTTTTATTCTTCCAACCTCTTACAACTTTTTGCTATCTGACCTGCATCTGTTGTCTAAACTCTAAAGATACCCAAAAATGTACATGTTCAATTGCCAACATATGGAATAATAGAAGAATCATGTCAAAACACCCAAATTTGTATTCGAATCTTCAAAAGCTTTCATAACAACAAGTTCCATCAAATTTGCTGCAAATAAGTGTAAATTACAACGTGGTTCATCTGTCCAGCCTATAGCTCCTCCCTCTGAAAGCTACACTACCAGTAGCAGTGTTGGCACTGTTAGGCCGTAAACCGGAGTTTGATTGCACTCCCCAACCCAGAAGAGCAACCAATTTATGTCTGTAAAACAAATTGTCAAGGATCAAACTGAAGAAAATTCACAGTAAATTGCCAAAATACAAGGAGGAATGGGTTGTGAAATGCTGAGAATGTTATTTCAATACAACTGTGATTATCAGCAACCCGACGCTTTTACTAGTTAAAACTAACCAAATACTGAAAAGTCCACCAATAATCATGACAATATTACTATCAAAGTAATTATAAAAATGTAAACTAAAGGAGATGGCCAGGTTTAGTAGGAATGATAACTTTTGTAAAATGAATTAACCAAAAAGGATACACCCATATTGGAGTTCTCAGTAAGTTCCTTCCAGTAGCAAGAGGATGTAATACTGTCAAGAAGTAATATAAATGACCAGCAACAATTCCCAGAAGGCTAGGCATAATGGGTGAGCCAAATATAGTGTCCAACATAAGCATTGCCCATGGTAGATAAAATGCCTGCAGGTTGAAAAATATTGAGATGTCGCTGCATTAAAATGGACCCAGTTGCTCAAATGTTGAGGTACAATGAAAGAATACAATGTAGAAGAGCCTATGATACCTTCAACGTGACAAGTCCATATATGTTTATCTGTGTGGTTGGGAACTCCCGGCTCCAAAGATAGAGCAGCATGAAGACCATTGATGCCCCCAGAAAGGGAGACCAAAAAAAAGGAATGGCAGACAATACCTAGTATAAAGAAAACGAAATAACTGTCACTGCTTGCTGTATATATGTAAGCTTAAAGAAAAAAGAATGGCAAGCTTGCAACAAATGTTGCATAGTAACGAACTTGATATCTAAATGTTGCATGGTAATAAACTTGATATCTGTCTACAAAAAAGAAAACGTGAAGAAAGAAGTTGAAAGTTAGAGAACACTGACCAATAAAAAAAAAGCTCCAAATAACATCATCCAAAGAAAATCTGCTGTCCGTTTGTCAAATGGGCCCTTTTCCAGTTGCACACCATATCTCGCTCTACAATTTTATTAATGAGGTCATACATCTCAAGGTTTTCAAGGATACACTACAGAAGGACAAGTAAACTTCAATCATACTGAAATACATACATCATCAAGAGGCGAATTCCAAAGTTGATCGAAAATTTACCAAGGAAGAAAAAATTGGTAAACAGCCTCCATACCTAAAGGCAAGATTAAGAACTTTTAGAAGTGTAAATCGAACAAAACAAGCAAGTCAAGTTCTTTAAGCTACATGAAATGAATAAATCAACAAACTACAGAAATATAAAAATATTTAGTCATGGAGATTAATTCTAAGGTTACATATCGATAACAATTAGAAGTTACACTATAAATATATAAGAATAAATAAAACACTTTTCAACAGAAATAAATCAATATTTTCTCAATTTCTGTTAAAAACACCAAGCTAAAATATCAAATTATGTGGTACCGTCATGTTAGGAAGGCCTGTATGTTGGCATAAAACGTGATTGACATATTTAAATTAAAATGCTTGCGAAAGGTACGTAGAACTTAAGATAAATCTTCATATAGATAATGACAAGACATTTTCTTAGTTTTATAAGTATATTTAACTCATTGTTTATTAAAATTAACAAAAAAACATGTTGAGGTTTCAATAATATCATTCATGATTAGTGCAGACAGACAGCTGCATGTGAACAACAAAACAGTAAGTTTCATATCAACAAAAATAAGCAAATTAACAAAACTATGAATGATTCAACAACTAAAAAAAATGTGAGACAGTGTGAACTAGATCTTTAAAATAATTTGACCATAGAGAACAAAACCAATAACAAAGAGGATGCAAAATGTACAACACATTCTGTTGAGTGCCTGATCTGGTCTTGGTTTGCAAAGCCTGATTAGAATGACTTACCAGTATCATTTGCATAGCAGAATACTCAAGACTCTAGTTATTGTTATAAAAGGATGACAAAGAACAGCTAAAAAGTTCTGGCTGAATTCAAGGAACAACGAGACTATTATACCTGAAATTGAGTAAATACTGGCTGATATAGTAGCAGAATAGTTCCAAGATCAAACAAGTTTAACTGGAATGCTGCAGTGGTCAAAAAGCACAGAGTCCCATAGGCCTTGCTCACTGGTGGAAGAGAATTGTAGAATCTGGAAGAAAATAAAGAGATAACTTAATAGTTGTTTAGCAGCAAACTAATGTCAAAATAGTTTATTTGTAAACAAAGGGTAGAAAGAAGAGAATACAGTGGTCATCAATTTGCATAAATTATAATAATGGGGTTAGCAAGCAGTCTCACACCCTCTACAGATAGTATTAGATATGCTAAAGAAGGTGCACATCATCAAAGATAACTTGGTCGCATATTAAGCAATTCAAATCACAAGCTCATGTAGTGTCATGCGTATATAGACGGCAAAACAAAAGATAAAACCAAAGGAAACAACCATTTGTAGATGACCGACGAACTTCACATATATTAAGATATCGCTATTACCCTCTATATATATATATACCAAGGTATGCAATTTCGAATAATACCTTACGGTACGTGCGGTAT